AGCCTGCCATTTTATAGCAAACAGTTTCGTTCCGGAGCTTGAGTTCGAACTTAAGTCTGCTCTTGGGCAGTCTCAGCTTTTTGTGCTCAGCTTGAGGCGTTGAGCTGAGTTTTTAGTTTGTGATAACGAAATACGGACGCTGAGCTTGAGTTCTTGAGTTCGGACTCAAATCTCAGCTTAAGTACGTTTGTGATACCGAAGCCTGTAGCTAGTGATGATTCCTCAACTCCAACGTATTGAAGTATATCTCATCACCAAAATTCATCTCAGTCGTCACAGCTTCCATCCAGCTCAACTTTACCAGTCATCCCCTCCTGTTCGAGAAACCCTCCTGTGGTCAACTCTGAGGGGGCATCTAGTGGTTTCGTAGCTGTCGTCGGAATCGTGTTCAGCGGATGATGTGAGATTTTACCTACAAACTCGCGGTGTCAATGTTATATTTGTTCGCTTCCTTAGAAGCCAACGGAGGCTTTGCGTCTCTGCACAGGTTAACGTCATTTTATCTGATATACCCAAAACAAAAGAGGACAACTTTTGGCAAAAAGGTATCCGATGCCGGAATGGGTCTCTAATAACCGGTTCTACGGTAACGATAATACCTCTCAGCTCGACGGTGGGATCGAATAGATTTGCCGTTCTTCGCCTGATGCATATCCTCCTCCTCGTTATGTCGAACATTCGCTTCATGTCGTGGAATGTTACTGGCATAATGTCGGCTGCCTCTCATATTCACGAAGCAATAAACAGGGAACGCGTTCACATTTGTGGAATAGCGGAACACTGGTTTTTTTGAAGAAAATCTACATCTATTCAAGAGTATTCACCAGAACTTCTTAGCAATTGCAGACTTTCCCTTGCATCCACTGGCTGATCATCGATCTCGAAATGGAGGTGTCGCCCTGTTGTGGCATAAGAGACTTAATGATCGCGTTTCGATCGTGGATGCTAATGATGACAGGATTGTCTTTATCAAACTCGTCCTGGATGTTGAAACAATCCATGTTCTTCAAGTTTATCTTCCTACATCAAGATATGGCACGGACTTATTTAATTAATACATCCAAAAGATTGACGAGCTGTGCACGACATTTTCCCTGCATGGATCTGTAATTGTCATGGGGGATTTCAATTCCGGCTTACAGGGCTCGCGTATTCCCGGTTATCAAGACCACCGTGGCAGGCTTCTTCAAAATTGCCTTGACAGTTCACAGATGTTTGCGTTGTCAACCTGTAGCCTCCGTAAAGGTCCATTACATTCATTTGTTCATTCCGAAGATGGTCCATCTTGCAAACTTTGCAAATCTTCATCAAAACATGTGGAGATGTCGTCAGGTTTGGGTCTCTAAAGGTCGAACGCGTGACACGGACTCATTCACATTTAGAAACTACAAAGATGCGAAACTCTTATTTAGGAACAAGCAAAGACAGGTATCAGAGGATCACATTGTAGACTTAAACAACGAAATTGAAAGTTGTGTTGATGTTAATCAAAAGACGTTCTGCTCTCTTGTTAGAAAACGTTGTACTAACACTTCGGGGTTTGCTGGAGCTGAAATGGCATTTAATGATGAAGTTATCAGAGAACCTGCTAGCCTAGCCTTTCACTGGGGTAAATCTTTTGCAGATATTCATTCCGAAACCTCTAGTGAAGATTTTGATGCACAATTTAAAGCAATTATCGATGAATCTGTAACAGTTATTCTGAGTTATCATGAGCCGGAAAACGACTGCTTTGATAATTTTCTTTGCATGAGGTCAAGTGCATCTGCAAAAAACTCCCTGTTGGCAAAGCAGCTGGGTATGATCATATTGTTTATGAGCACTTGATATATGCTAACGACACCTTACACAGCTGTGTCTGCGTTTTATTTAACGAATTCCACAGTATGTTCCACCTCTGCTTACAAACGGTCTGATTTGTACGCTGTATAAAGGTCACAACAAACCTAAGGGTGATCCGAATAGTTATCGTGCCATTTCCTTACTTTCTATTATTTTAAAAGGTTTTGAAAAATTACTACTTGTGCGACTGGATTCAACAAATCTCTTTAAGATTATTCCGTTACAAAACGGTTTCAAAAGAACGTCAGTAGTACGATGACTTCTTACTTAGTCCAC